CAGATTCTGCAGGGTCTCCTGATGTTTGTTTTCTTAGCTGCAAAATGCCAGGGTAGACCAGATGATGAGAGGGGCCGTTTGGGCCCATTTCACCTGGTGTTTGGGAGAAGGAAGCATGGTGGGGCTTCTCTGTTCACACCTGCCCACGTCCCGGGGGAAGATGGGCAAGTGACATGGGGCCCTGGAATTGGAACAGAAGCCCAAGTCCAGACACTCCATCCCCGGCCAGCTCCCGTCTCTGGGAGCTGGGTGGCCCCTGACCAGCTGCCCCTCTGACCCTCACTTCCTTCTGCACAGTGAAAACCATCCCTGCCCCATTTTAGGGCAGGAATCCAGGTATCAAAATGACTGTTTACTCCAAGAGCATAAAAGAAACTTCTCCTGACTCCAAGAGTCAAGAAGATAAGACGCGGGAGAGTCCCAAGGAGGCTCTATCAGATTCCCACCCATGGAGTAAGAACAACACATTTAAGCAAGAAAAAAATCTTAATGAGAACCAAATTGAGCAGGGGGGTGGGAACCAGACAAGGCCGCTCCAAGAAGGGCTGGGCCACAGCTGGGACAAAAGGGCCCCCAGCTTTCCCAGCCGACAGATGGAAATGTGGCGGCCCCTCCCCATTTCTCAGGGGTATCGGAAGATTAATTAGTGACTGCCTGGGAAGTGCTAGATGGGAGCCGAAATGCTTGTCCCCGCTGAGTTTCTGAGCTGTAAATAAGCAGCTTTCTCAATCACAACTAAAATAGCATTGTTGTCCTTTTATCTGACTCAGATCCCATTAGGCCCAACCTGCCTCCAGAGCAGGCCTTGGATGGTTCCAGAACTCACCCCAAAGCCATAGGTTTGCTTATGACCAAGCAGCTTCCCCAGACAAGCCAGGAACTGGGCTTGAGCTCAGTCACAGCTGTCAACTGTGGACACCCCCTCCCAGCTTCGGCTCCTGAGGTGGCACCCTGGGACTCGGGAGCCGGCAGCTGGAGCTCCTACAGCTCCGACCTGCCCTCAGCGCCGGCCACCTCCCCCAATGTCGGTGGGCCTGAGCAGAGCCCCACACCCAGCCTCAGACTGGGGCTTTCTGGAAGAAGCATGGAGGGGTGAAAAACAAAATGTAGGCAACCCTCCACAGGCCGCCTGGGCCTTGACTCACTCCCCTGGTGCCGCTAGCTCCTGGCAGGGGAAGCCCATCTCCTGCAGGCATGTCAAAGGCTGGGAGGAGAGGGGCCCAGGTCAGCTGACCCTCAGGGACAGCAGAGGGCAGGGGAAATGCTCTGGGGGAAACCCGGATTCCCCGAGAGCAGCTACCAGAAGCCTGTGTGGCTTTGGGCTGACCCCAACCCTCTGTGGGCCTCAGTTTCCCCACTGGGGAGTCCGGAGTGTCATTTCTGGCAGTGGACAGTAAACCCCGAGGGGAAGCGAGGGTCACCCGGAGTTCAGTTCGGGGCCAGGGTGGGGTTAGCTGACAGTTGAGGAGTCTTCCCTCCGTGAACTCCAGGAACAAGATAAGGGGGCTAGCAGGGCGCCACTGCCAACACCACTGGCCAGTTCCCTGCTCCCTGTCCTTCAACAAATATTTATTAAGCAGGGACTCTGGAGCCGGGTGGCTAGGTCAAAGCCTCGCTTCGCCAAGTGCTGCGTGTGTGACCTCAGTTTCTTCACCTGGCAAATAGGATAAAATTATTGCCATTTCTGGTACAGAATGGGCACCATGTAAAAAGTGGCTGCTGCCACCTCTTTCTCCTTATTTTTATTATTATTACTGGCCTGATTGATGCTCCTGGGCATTTAGGAGGCAGAGTCACCACCTGAGTGGGGCTCATTGTTGGAGTTCAGGAAAGGGGATTGGTAGCTGGGGCACCCATGCAGACAGAAAGTTTGCGAAGAAACATCAGGGACCCCCTCTACATGAGGCCCCAGCATCCTCGGGATATGTCCCTGCCCTGCCTCCTTTTGACACAGAAGTATCCCTCTGCTGGATTACCCACTCCCCCATAATGAATGAGCACCAGAGGGCCAGACACTGAATTTCGGAGGCCAAGGGCCTGGTCCAAAGACCTGTGTTCAACCACTAAGAAGACCTGTAATATTCTGCAAATGATAATCATTTTTACTCTAGCTACCACTTGCTAAATGTTACCTCTGTCCCAGGCCCCGTCCTCAGGCTTACAAGGATTCACTCATTTAATCCCTTACACCAAACTTTCCCCGTGAAGGTCCAGATCATAAATATTTTAGGCTTGGCCAGCCTTATTGCAATTACTCAACTCTGCTGTTCCAGCGCAGAAGCTGCCATGGACAGGGCAAGAAAGAGCGGGCACAGGCAGGCGCCAATCAAACACAGGCAGCGGCCAGGGCCCAGGGCCCCACCTTACAGGGATACCAAGGCAGATGGTTATGGATCCCGTTTCACAGACGGGAAAGTCGAAGCCCATACCATTCCAGCCACCCACCGGAGGTTGTGGCTCGGAAGAGGCCGAGCAGGACTTCTATCCTATGCCACCCATCCTCTGTCCTGTCACCTGTCACCCAGGAGTGGTGCCCAATGCCAGCCTATGAACTGTCCCAGAGTAACAGCTGGCGGGCCAGGTTCTGGGCCCTGGCTCCTTGCTGCTACAGGTACTGTGACAGATTGGGCTGTGGGGATAGCGCAGTACCCGAAGCTCAAGTTCAGTGGGTGTCAGGCCTACGCAGGCAGGGCCCTGCCGCTTCTCTAAGACCACAGAGCTGCCACATCCAGGCCCCTTCTCCAGGGCCAGTGCAGTGGGCAGCAGCCAGCTTCACGTCCCGGCCCTGCCACTTCCAAGATGGGCAGATCGCTACCTCTTCGGAGCCCCACTTTCCTCATCTGTGAAGTGGACACACAAAGTGTGGGAGTCAGATTTACAGGAGATTCCCAAAAGGCACTTGCAAGGGGACCTGAGGGTGGTGAAGACAAAGAGATCACTGCTTTTACTGTTATTTCTGCTACTCCAAGATGAGGGGCCTGAAGCCTAGTGGAACACAGCCACCTGGCCGTGGTTCCCCCAGGTAAGCCTCTGCACTGTGACACCAGAAGGACAACAAACACAGAAACCTGGTGGTGGGTAAAAGATAAAACCCCAGTGGGGGAAAAATCCCCACTCCACACTTTGACACTGACTTGTGCCCTGGGCTCAGGGGGGTTCCCACCTGCAGGCTTCACCCCCCTGCCCCTGACAGCTTAACACCAGCCAGGACTGATTTTCCTTAATTGCTTTGAATTTCCCAGCCTGACACTTCCTCCTTTTTTTTTTTTTCCAGAGGCTCCCAGTGTAAACAGAAAATCGGTCACCTGATGAATAAATATGCGCCAGCAGCCACCCAATGGCAGGTGAAGTGGGTGTACGTTACAAACACCTGTGCTTTTAAGACGCGTGTACTTAAAAAGATTCATTCCTGCCACACACAGTCCTAAGTGCGTACAGGCAGGGCGCCGCACCGGGGGTGCTGCAGAGAGAAGCAGGAACTATCCCCGTTTTCCAGGACAGCAGCCTCAGCAAGAATCTTGGCTACCTTTTGGACTCAAAGAGCCCTGTGTCTATCACCAGCTCTCTAGTATTTTCCTGTGGGGTACACGGGGAGAAGGCTCTGAGTCCCGGAGGACGCCACCCTGTGTTAAGGGCAGAACACAACCCTTTTTGTACTTTGGGGGTTCCAGGTTCTAATTTGGTTGGCATCTGTTCAGGACAAAGCAGAGGGAGGGGACATGGTGGATTTACCATCCCTCCCCACTGCTGCTTCCAGGGACCCCACAGCACTGTGGGCGCCTCACCCAAAGTGACAGGGGCTTCTGCAAGCAGAGGAATCAACACAAAACCCATCACCCGACCACCTGCACCTTTCCCAGCAAACCTGTTCAGAAGCCTCCACCGGCTGCCTCCTGCAGAATTTTAAAAGCCCCAACCTGAGAAGCCCAGGAACGCCCCCTCTCCTCCCTATAACACCCGGTGTCCCCCTACCCCCAGGGCCACGGGTGCCCCAACTTCCACAGGAACTATGTCAACTCTCAAAGGAAGGACGGGAAAATAAAAACACAGCTCATTCCTAGAAAAAGCGGCCACACGCAGACCTGCCTTCGTGACCTACGGGTCACGTGGTCCACCGGAGTCAGGCCTGGAGAGTTATTCCCCGCCTCCGGGGGCCACGGAGGGAGGGTGACAGCGAGGCTCGGGGCGGGGCCCAGGGATCACCAGGGTCCCACCTCGCTTGCCAGGCACCCCTGGCTCCCCAGCTTCCCCTTGGCCTACATTTGAGGTTTCAAAGTCCAAATAAGGTGAACTCAAGAGGGGCTCCCCAAACCGCCTGCTGTCACCCTTTCCCCTCCCCTTTGGGCTACGAGAGCGACTTGCCCCGAAACAGAAAGTTACAGGGCAGCCCGCTGTCAGCGCGCTGGAAGGGCAGGGAAACAGGAAGCCGCGCCAGCCACCCTCCAGAGCTTCCCCCGGCCCCTCCTCCGACCTCGGCAGGAACAAAACCGTCCAGGGAAACCTAGGCAGGAAAGAGGGTGGGGGTGCAGGCGCGCCTCACGCGTTCGGAGACCAAACCGGGGGCCGACTGGGGGCCGAGAAAGATCCGCCCCGGAGCCGTGGGTGGGCGGGGGGCGCTTGCCACCCGACCCGGGCGGCCTGCAGCAAAGTAACTTCACACCCGGGCTTCGTTCCCCTCGCCGGGCTGCGGTGCCCCCGGCCCCTCGCCGCGCCGCCGCCGCGGAGCCGGCTCCGGGCAGACAAAAGGAGCGAGACGCGCACCCCCGGCGGCGGCGCGGCGGGGGCGGCGGGCCGGGTGGGCGCCCCCCGCCGCACGTACGCACAGCCCGCCGGACGGACCGCCGCGGGAGCGGCCGGGCCGCGCGCCCGTCCGCCCTCCCGCCCCCGGGGGTCGGCGGAGCCCGTGCCCCAGCGCAGGCGGGGGGCCCCGGGGCCGTGCGGGGTGGGGGCCGGGGCGCGCCGGCGCCGCGCGGAACCGCGGAGGCGCACCGCTCGCTTACCTGGTAAGTAATACAGAGGCGGCTTCAGTCCAAACATGATTCAAATTAGAATTCCATAGTGGCCAGGAAAGGATGAAGAAGAGGGGGAAAAAAAAAATAAAACCCAGCAATGAGACAAAAAGCGTCGTCCAAGCCACGGGCTCAAAAATGTCCAAAACAATAAAATAGACTCAGAAGAGCGATCCCGAGAGCGACGGAGGAAAATAAAAAAATCAGTCTTTTTTTTTTTTTTTTTTCCTCCCTAAGATGATCCAAAGCCTCTCCCTCCAGCCGGCGCCCGGGCACCTTCGGCCACCGCGGCCCTGGCAGATCCACAACGAGGTAACTGGCGACCACGGGCGGGCTGGAGCCTCCGCGGCTGCCCGGTGTCTTCGCCGCGTGTGTATTTTCTGCCTTTTGGACTCGAGATGCAAATAGAAAAAGGAGGGGGGCGCACGGCGGAGGGAAGCAGGCGGGAGTGCGGAGGGGAGCGCGAGAAAAATAAAGGGGGGAGGTGAGGGTGATGAAATTGGGGAGTTAAGATCTTCAGGGATTACTCATTTGAAAGAAAAGAGAGAGAGAGAGAGAGAGAAAAGCACCCCAAGACGTGCGAGTAGCGATCTCTCCTCCATTCAGCCATTTGAATGTCAAGGGCGAGGGTCAAGGGACCTGTTTCCAACAGGGTTTCACGTTCAGAACCAGAAGGAAAAAGGAAGGGGGGGCGGCGGGAGGGGGTATCTCTCGTTGCCAAGGAGAAATCGGCTTTGTTTTCGTTTCCCCTTAGCTACTGAGTGAGGAGGGGCGGGGTGGGGGGCAGAGAAGGAGGGGGCGGGCGGGCGAGGGGAGAGAAGAAAATTAATACCCAAACAGCCAAGAAGTACCGAGGGGGGGGATTTCTTCTCGTAAATTAAAGAGGCCCCGAGTGCAAACAAGTCTCCCGCAGCAGAAAGCAGGCCGAGCAGCGGACTCCCCTCCCCCTCTCGCCACCCCTCCACCTTTTTTTTTTTTTTTGGTTATCTCCTTGGCCCGGCGTCCCACCACTGACTCAGAGAGCAAGGGTGGGGGAAGGCGGAGAAAGAACTCGCGGGGGCCCAGGCAGGAGCGGGAGGAGAGCGGGGAGGCAGAGCGCACGGCGGTGGGGAGCCCCGCGATCAATTTTCATGCAAGAATCATTATCGGTAAATTGGAAAGCTGGCTGCCTGACAGCAGATTTGTCTCCCCTAATGAAAGCGAAAGGGTAGGGCCGCAGCGGCGGGCGGCTGCAGGCGGCGGCGGCGGCTCCTTCCGTCTCTACGCGGCATCTTCCAAGAGCTCCATGCTTCGCAGGGCGATAATAATAGTTTCACTTGCGAGCTTTCCCCCGCGCGGCCGCTTGGCCGGGCAGCAGATCCATGCGGGCCTGGGTCGGGGCTCAGAGAGCTGGGCTTCCCTCTCCAAAACCGGGGAGGGTGCTCTGCTGGCGGCGGGGCGCTCCGCTCGCCCCAAGGCAGGGGCCGTTTGCAAACAGTGGGCGGCTGCGGGCGCCGCCGGTCCCCTCTCCCGCTGCCAACTCCGCGCTCAGGCCGCCCGCCCTCCCTCCCCACCCACGTCTGACAGCTGCGGGAGCCGGGAGTTCACTGGCCGCCGGGGCCTAGGAGGAGGATCCCCACGCCGTGCCCAGGGGCCCTGGCCCGCCTTTTGTGAAAGCCACACGGGGCTGCGGAAGCGCACACACCGGCCCGGCCCAGGGTGAGCTCCAAAGGAGAGCGGCTTCTCTCTCCCCTTTCTTTTCCCCCTACCCCTCGCCCCGCCCCCACCCCTTAAAAATCCCTGTTGCAAGTGTAATCAAATGCTTGATACCATCTCCCACACTCTCCGGGCGCTGGTGCATTATCAGATCCGGGAAGGCATGCTTCCAGGCAAATAGACCTAATAAATGCTATTACTGGGATTCTGCAAGCCCCGGCTGCACCATAGTAACGAGAGCCCTGGCTAATTTGGTTGAAGAAAACGATCAACTGCACAGAGTGTGTGTGAGCGAGCGTGGAGCCTGTATCTCTCCTCCCCACGCCGCCTCTCTTTCACACCAGCTCAAGAAGGCCCCATGTGATAATTCCCCAAATCGAAGGGGAAAAAACCCTGCCTGCCGCCAAACCACATCCTGTGCGCTCATTGTCCAGCCCAGCGGTTTTAAAGAGACAGGATCCATTTACCCACGCGCCCCCCCCCAACACACACACACTTAAACGCACGCTGCAGAGCGGCCTCTGGATGTGACAATTTATTTTCAAGCCCTTTTACTTCTGAAGGGCCCCTCAGTGCCACAACCAGCGGAATCGCAACTTGGTGACACTAGGATCACCTTTTGACCCCAGATATAATCTTCTCGGTTAGAGGAACAGACCTGAGCCCGCAGGTACGCACGAAGGGGCACCGCGGTCACGCCAGGCTTGGGTTTCTGCCAACGCTTTCCAGCCACTGAGTAAATCAGGGGTCCCCAGCGGCAGCCCCGGGGTCCCTGCTAAGCGCGGCGGCTTCAGATGACAATTGAACTCCCGGAATATGAGACTAGGAGAGCTCCGGAGGGCAACCTGGCGGAATGGGGTGTCTAGTCGTGCTTTCCGACCCCTCCATACCGCCCCTACGCCCAACGCGCCAGAAAAATCTTAAATGGACTGGGCGGAGCGCTCGGAGCCAAGGAGGGGTGGCGCTCCTCCCTGCCTCCACCAACGGCTGGGTGGGTGCAGCGCCAGGCGGCAGCCTTCGCCGCCGGCTGGGCTGCCGCGGGTGCAAGAAGCGTCCTTTAATCCCCAGTCCCCGCTGCACCCGCCCCAAGCTCCTCCCCGCGGGCGGCCGAGCGCGCGCGGGCACCCGGAGGGCGCGGGGGCTGCTGACATGAAGGGAACGGGCCCTCGGGGCCGCCCGCCCGCGCGCGCCGCCAGCATCTGGCCGCTCCGCCCCGCGCTGACCCGGGAGGTCGCGCCCGGCCCGCGGCGGCGGCGGCCCTTTGTTTCCGGGGCTGCGTGGCGGCGCGCTTCCCGCGCCTCCCCCTGCGCCTGCCGCCGCCGCCGGCCCCACGAGGGAGGCTACTGCCCGGCACGGTGGGTTCGGGGTCCAGCACCTGCCCGCCCCGGCCCCACCCCCACTCAAGCCCCGCTTTCGCCTCCCAGCCATTTATCACTCTCATCACCGGCATACTTGATAATCTGCGCCCCTGGGGAGTGGGGAAGGGGTGGGGCGCACCAGGGCGCGCAGCTGGGGACCCTGGGTGAGCTGCCGCCCACCCTCCAACCCCTCATAGGCTTGGAAAAAAATCTCTGCTCCTACTTGGGGGAAAAAAATAAAACTATTTTTAAAAGACCCTAAACTATCAGTTTCTGTTGTCATTCTTTTATTGGTTTTTAATTCTCCGGGATTACACGAACAGTAGTAATTAATACTAAACCTTCCTCTACTGTATATGCTAATGGCAAGAGCCATAAAAATTAATTTGCAAACATGTCATTACACAATAGCTGTACAGGCAATAAACCTGTAATTATGAGCCAATCACACACAAGGTACAGAGGGAGGGATGCCCCCCAATGTGCTGGGTGCTCCCCTTCCCCTGCTAAGGTGGGGGAGTCCGTGCCAGAATGGAGCTTGCCTTCTGGGAGCCACCTGTGGAGAATGCTCCCAGCTACAGGGGATGGCCAAGGGAGTCTCTAGTGATGAGTTCCAATCAGCCAGGCTTCTAGGCAAGACCCCCTGGAGACAGCCACTCCAGGGCAGTGGGGTGGACACGTGGGAGGAGGGACACGGCAGAGCCTTGGACAGCTCCAGGCATGGCTTAGTGGCAGGTGAGCAGTTAGAGCTGGAGGCAAAGAGACCCCACACTGGTGGGCCAGCACTGGCTTATCTCTGCCATCCTGTCAAAGGCAACCATCCCCACCCCACCCAAGTAAGTATTTGCTCGCATCAAATTATCTCAGAATGCTCAGGCCAAACCCCTAATTGCTTTTAGCCACTCCTTCAGGAAGGTGATACCTAAGCCTCCTCTGGCCCTGGGTCTGGGAGACTCAAAGTAGGTTAGTGACACTTCCTGGTGACAGGGACGTTTGTAAAGGAGGAAAATATGAGATCCACCATGGGAGGGTGGTTGTACCGCAGCTCCCGACATGCTGCCAAAACAGCTGAAAAATATAAAGCAACCTCTACCATGCCAGGCAGCCTGCTCAACGGGCTGACTTCACTGAATGGCTGGGTTGTTTGCCATAATGTGGCTGAACGGGGAGCTGGAAGGATTTTCGTTTTCCCACTGGCCCCTGTGGCTTGGCTGTAGTTTTTGGAACCCATCACTAGAGCCATCTACTCCCAGGGGAGCCAACCCTCGGCTGCGAGTGCCTGTGGCCTGGCTTGAGGCGGGAGGGCCAGCCAGTCTGGGCCACACTGGGACCAGCTGCCAGGTACCCAGGTGAGCAGGGCAGGATGTCACCTCAGTGGAGTCTTCAGCTAGGAAATGGCTCTCTCCACCCTCTCTTCTCTGAGAGCCCCATCACGGCGATGCCCGCTTCCTGGCTCTCCCAGCTCCCTTCGGTGGAGCGGTCAGAATGGGGCTGAGTGTCCAGTGCCCCTTCTTAGGGGTTGGAGATAGTGCAGGGCCAGCTGGCCCCCCTGGCACCCTGCAAGCCAGCCCAGGTCCAAGGGAAGCTCGGGCATGTCCTGGACAGAATGCAAAGCGCGTCATCTCAGCGGAAGACAGGCTGCGGGCTGGCTGCTTCCCTGGAGGCCGCGTGCAGCCCACAAGATGAGATCCCTACTCTCAAGAGACACGGGGGGCCCCTCCTTCCCACCCCTCCCCAGCTGCTCCTTCAGAATGGAGGGGCCCCATACTCCCCCTAGCGGGGCTGCCGTTGTACAGCAGCAAGACCGCCTGGCCCGACCAGAGCATCCGCGGAAGCAATAAAAGCAGCCTCCCAGCACGTGCTGAGAACCCTGAGGCTTCCACGGGGGTCTGGAGTGCACAGTGGTGGGGTGCCCGGTTCCCAGCCGCAGGGCTCGCCGCCTCTGTGTGCCCGCTGGCATTCTTGGGGCCACCCAAGCCAGGCCTGGACCTCACCTTCTGGCCAGGGGCTCTGCTTCCCAACGATTCCAGGAAAGGGGGGGGAGGCCGCACGGCAAACCTGGATGCCTCCTCCAGTTCCCTCTTTCGGATAATCATGCCAGGCGACGTTTCCTGAGCACTCAGTCTGTGCCAGTTGCTGTTCTAAGCACTTTTCACGAATAACTCATTGGAGCGTCATGACACATCCAAGGTCACCATTAGTTTGGGGAAGTTTTCAGCAATTATTTCTTCAAAGACACTTTCTATCCCTTTTTCTCTCTCTGCTTCTTCTGGTACCCCTATAATGCGGATATTGTTCCGTTTCGATTGGTCAAGGTCACCATTAGGAATTCCATTTGCTAGATGAGGCACAGAGAGGTCAAGCACCTTGCCCAAGGACACAAAGCCAGAAAGTAGCAGAGCTGGTTCCAGAGTTCCTGTTCAGGACCATCAGCTTGAGTCAGACAGACCAGAGTTCAAATTCCAGCTGGGCTGCCACCCACTGTGTGCCCTCGGGCAGTGACTTCACCACTCTGAGCCTCAGTTTCCTCACCTGGAAAATGGGATGAAATCGCCCCTGCATTCCAGGGAGATGCAGGTGTGTAATTCCTCTGGTGCATGGCACAGAGTTAGAACTCCATGGATAGAGCAGTAATTATTTCTGTGTTTTGGGTAATAGCGATAATAGCAGCTACCACCGACGGAGTCTCGGTACACCCCAGCCTC